ATGTCGGCTGGTGACTCCCCGGGGGAGAGCCTTCTCTGTTGTAGCTCCGGCCCTTTGGAACGACCTCCCCGTGGAGATCCGGACCCTCACTACCCTCCCGGCCTTCCGCAAAGCCACCAAGTCCTGGCTGCTCCAGCAGGCCGGGGGGGGGGGCTGTGAAATATCCAGCCCCACGGAAACTGTGAAATGTTGTGTATTTTTAAAGTGTTGTTTTGTCTATTTATCCCCCTCCCCTTGTTTATTGTGAGCCGCCCGGAGTCCTCCGGGAGTGGGAGGCATACAAGACAAATAAACAGAAACAGAAACAGAAGACCCTTATACAAGGAGCATTTCCTGCCATTAGCTTTTCTGCTTACCTTGTGTGTACTTGCAGACTATCGCAATCATCATGACCTAATAATAATTACGTGGGCTGAGTTTAGTTTGAAAACTGTTGGTCGTTGCGCAAAACAAACGCAACCTTCACCCTACGAACCCGCATTTTGTTTAAGGGATGTTTTTTTTTTGTGCTATTTAACTTGGTTCTTTTACTATATTTTCTTCTTTTTTTATATTCTTCTTAATTTCTGTTTCTAAACCTGCACTCAAGATGCCTTTGCAGCTTCTCCTGGTGACGCCCCTGCAGCACCTGAAGGGGCAGCAGCACCAGCTACCCCAACCCCCGTAGCAGCAGCTCTTGATGCATGCTCAGGAAATGGTGGGTTCCATCTCATTAGCTCGTCTGTCATCGTTGTGTGTGTCATACTAATTAAAATAAACTTCATGGCAGTATGTTTGTCACTTAAGGATGGGGGAGGAAGGGATTTTTTCCTAAAAAAACATTTCCCCCAGGTATTTGGACAAAAGTTCTAATCGAACAAAATTGTGTCAAGAAAGCATTCCTACATGATTTCGCCAAAGCCTTTTTTAATTGAAAAATGTTAGCAATGCCGAATCTTGCATGTAGCTGATAGAATGGTTCTCCAGTTAGGAACAGATCTTTTCAAAGCACCTTAGTTTAAGTGAGAGGGAAATTGCATGTGGGCACATGAGCACCTATTAGTACAGATGTCAGAGAATCAACAGTTAACAATTAACAAAGCTGTGCCTTTGGTCCAGGGGTTGGTTCCAGCAG